TTGTCGTTGTATTGTCGTTGTATTGTCGTTGTATTGTCGTTGTATTGTCGTTGTATTGTCGTTGTATTGTCGTTGTCGTTGTATTGTCGTTGTCGTTGTTGTTGTCGTTGTCGCTGTCGTTGTCGTTGTATTGTCATTGTATTGTCGTTGTATTGTCGTTGTATTGTCGTTGCCGTTGTATTTCGTTGTCGTTGTATTGTCGTTGTATTGTTGCATCGCCGTTGCATCGCCGTTGCATTGCCGTTGCATCGTCGTTGCATCGTCGTTGCATCGCCGTTGCATCGCCGTTGCATCGCCGTTGCATCGCCGTTGCATCGTCGTTGCATCGTCGTTGCATCGTCGTTGCATCGTCGTTGCATCGTCGTTGCATCGTTGTTGCATTGTCGTTGCATTGTCATTGCATTGTTGTTGCATTGTCGTTGCATTGTCGTTTCATTGTCGTTGCATTGTCGTTGTATTGTTGTTGTATTGTCGTTGTATTGTTGTTGTATTGTCGTTGTATTGTTGTTGTATTGTCGTTTTATTGTCGTTGTATTGCCGTTGTAGTGTCGTTGTATTGTCGTTGTACTGTTGTTGTATTGTCGTTGTATTGTTGTCGTGTTGTCGTTGTATTGTTGTCGTGTTGTCGTTGTGTTGTCGTTGTGTTGTCGTTGTGTTGTCGTTGTGTTGTCGTTGTATTGTCGTTGTATTGTCATTGTATTGTCGTTGTATTGTCGTTGTATTGTCGTCGTATTGTCGTTGTCGTTGTCGTTGTATTGTCGTTGTCGTTGTCGTTGTATTGTCGTTGTATTGTCGTTGTATTGTCGTTGTATTGTCGTTGTCGTTGTTGTTGTCGTTGTATTGCCGTTGTCTTGTCGTTGTCTTGTCGTTGTATTGTCGTTGTATTGTTGTTGTATTGTCGTTGTATTGTCGTTGTATTGTCATTGTATTGTCGTTGTATTGTTGTTGTATTGTCGTTGTATTGTCGTTGTATTGTCGTTGTATTGTTGTTGTCGTTGTCGTTGTCGTTGTCTTGTCGTTGTCTTGTCGTTGTATTGTCGTTGTATTGTCGTTGTATTGTCGTTGTATTGTCGTTGTATTGTCGTTGTCGTTGTCGTTGTATTGTCGTTGTCGTTGTCGTT